TTTTTTGCTGTGTTGTCCTCCCATTCACTGGACTACCTTTACCTCAATAAACAAGTAAGATTTTTTTTGTACTCACCGTAAAATCCTTTTCTTAATGTTAATTGAGGGACACAGGTCTCACCCCTGTTTTTATGGTCTGCTCTCAACACTGCTTGGTACAAAACTGAGGCATGCTGGGAGAAGAGGGAGTTATTCTAGGCCAGTTACTGTTTATTGTTTGCTAGTGTCCAAATCCTCCTGAAGGTGGCAGTGTAACCCAATTGTCTCTGAATCCCTCAATGAACTCAAAGAAAAGGATTTTTCTGGTAAGTACAACACTCCTATTTTTACAACGAAAGGGAGAATCTGGTTGGGCATTGTGGGTAAATACAGGAAGTTCCTATCTCAGAATATATTTGTTCTAGATCAGTGATTCAGAAAGTATTCAAAACAGTGAGCCAACAGAACTTCCTGAAGTGGGAAAACATTCACAGCCTCCCTGCTTCTCTCTCCCACTCACTTTAACCCTTTGACTGCCATAGATGTGGAAATGTTAGTCAACAGCCATGAGCTTGCTGTTTAATTCAGCTGCCTCCTGGCTTTTAGGTCAAAGTGTTCTGGGCAGAAGATGCAGACAGGTTTGAGATTGATAGCTGGTGTCATTTTCATGCATTTTATCCAGGGTTATGTAGAGACATCACACCAACTTACTCCCTCCATATCTGATTTCTTGCAGGAATAATACAAATTATGCAATGGTTATACTGTAGGATATGGACAACTTAATCTAGCAAATTCCACCCCACAATTAATATTTGTTATGGCATCACGCTGAGAAAGCAAGCACATTTATACAATTGAATAGAAGTCACACATCAGTAATATTTATTGCATTTATTTGAAATAGTTTTAAAGAAAAAATTAAATACTCAATTGTCAGTAATATATAATTCATAATAAATATGTTCTCCAGATAAGAATAAATGAACACTAATAGCATAGGTACTGATAAAATTAAATTAAAGTGACACAAAACTAATTTTTTTTATCCCATTTCAGGGCTCTCCTTACAGTACATAAGATGATTTCGCTGTTCGCTGTTCTGAGCATCTAGCTCAAGAAATATCCACCGCTTTGTATTTTATTGGGCATATGGGAGGGATTTAAAGAGGAGAGAAGAGGAGTCAGCAGAGGAGACAGGAGGGCGCTTGTAGCATCCTCACGTCACATTGTAGATCTCAGTGAGATCGAGCACAGAGGGTGGCTACTTTTCAGCTCCCATAAGGACCATGGAGAAGAAAGGTAACCACCCTCTGGCAGGACCACATGCATCAAAAAATCGTTTTTTGAAGCTTTTAAAGGCAAATACTGAAAACCGGAGTAAGCTCATTATTACATTACTATGTTGTAGATCTTATTTTCATGTTTAAATTTTTGGTCACTTTAAGACAAATCTGATTAAATCAGTGCATATTACTCTGGGTGTAACAGCTAAAATATATTTACTTTCTTGCTGTTTTTGGTTATTCTTTATGTAACATCCTAACAAATAGCGGGCAAGACCTCACTGCCATCTGTCACTTCAAAAAACCATATCCATAGTTCTACATATGATTTTTATTTTCTCCTTTTTATCTTCTTAAGACGACCTTTAGTTTGTGGTGAGGTGAAGGCACTATGGGTGTGTCTGCAGCTGCTGTGACTTTGTTAGAAAAGGTAGAAAAATGGTTAGAAACATACATTTCTATATGATATTAAAATGTCTGCACTCATTGCCTCTGCAGTAGACAGTTTATTTGGTGAACTATTTTTGCAGTCACTTTTCAACAACCCTGTCTTGCCATTACTGGTTTTGCCGTCTACTCCTTGTAATAATAGCAAGGGTGGCCAATGCCGCCGCTAATATTCCTCCTCCGACTGCTGTGTAAAGGGCAGCATTAGCAACCTGCAAGAAAATATAAACATCATTGGAAAACAGTCCGTTTCCTCACAGTTTGTTTTACCGATCTAGACTTCAAAGACATTAACTAAAATTCACTTATTAGGTAGAAGAAATAACAATATGGATGCAAGTACTTTTGAAACCCTCCAAAAATTATGTTTTGCCTGGGGAGACACCATTTCTTTTCGCAATGTTAATATAATATTCAACTTTTAACATTCACCATTAAGCCCCAACTTCACCATTAACAACTCAATATAAAAAAAAATATTTGAGTCTCTGGTACAGTATGTAGGAGTGAAGGGAAGTTAAGTATACACTGCTGAGGGTAGGGTTGATGCAATTCAGTTGCTTTGCCCTAAAGGTTTGCTTTAAACTCAGTTGTTAGGTTTGGCTTTCTACACTCTGCACATCATCATAGCTCTTGGGTCTTATTTAATCATTTATTTAGTAAGCGTAGTTGCACTTTACCCGTGCTTGGCAGCAGTATTGAACTAGGCAATCTTGGCAACTATGACTGTGCGGAATCGTCCCCACAATCATAGAAAACAAAAAGAGCTATGTTTAAGCTGTCTGAACTTTATTCTCTGTCAGAACTCTGTGCAGCCAAAGAGGCTAAAGACCAGATAACGAGTTTTTGGGGGGATTTTTGAGCAGTAAAATACTTAATAAACTGATTCTATGGGGATTACGTTATTAAAAGACCATCTGTACAATTGCATTACATTTTAGGCCTTTTAGAGCTACCATATTTCCTTGAATTGTTCAGTGGCTAGAATTGTAGCAGTGCTATAGACACGGTAAATGCTGTTGTTATTGCAGGCTTACCATCCTGAATTAGGTGTTGAACATTAAAGGGGACCTATTATTAAAATGTACACTTCACATGAATCAGCACTACCAATTAAAAAAGCAAAATTGTTTCAGTCATCCGAGGTGTAAAAATAGAAGGAACGACTGGCTGTGAAGGGGTTAGGCAGGCTGTACTCATTAAAACTGATCTGCCTTCTGAAGAGTACTGGATGCTCCTGAGTATGGAAGACAGTATGTGACACAGCCACTACATCCCCACAATGCAGCAAACAATCACTAGATTTAAAAACTGTTATATGGAGGGACGGTGCATAGTGATCTGTGAGTTTCAACTTGCTCAGCAACCTCTAGAGTCCCCAGTCTTGGAGTACGACCCCATTTGAATCTTTGGGGGCTTACTGCATAGGTGGAGCCAGTGCTGAAAAAGATGTACCAAGTCCTTAAAACTACAACAGCTAAAGGAAGTCATGCTATCCAACGCAACTCACCACCTGCCGAAAAGGTATTCATGTAACTTATTCATTAACATAGTGGCCTTTCCCTATTTTTTTACCCAGAGACGACAGGACCTTTAAACCGAACATCAACATAACCCTTTATACCTAATCCACCATTTTAAAGTTATTTAAAATGAAAAGATTACTCCTTTCTTTATCAGGGCCATCTAGTCTTCAGAATGACTGGAAGTGTTTGGGAAAAAATGTCAAGAAATACTTTGCATGGCAATGTATATTTGTTTGAACTGGATTCATTATTGAAAAAAAGAGAGTTTATACTACTTCAACACAGGCAATTCAGATTCTTACAAATGCTCATTCCTGCTTTGTTCTCCTCAAATCTACAACGAAGCAGGCCTATTACTGCTGTATACCAGTAGATGCAAACCATCACTGGCTAGCCTTAGTTCGGGGACATAGGCAAATCAGTTTGTGCTGTCTTCTCACAGCATCTTCATTTAATATTTGGCTAGTTTTGATCTACAGTATGCTATGTCAGTACTGATACAGTTTAGTTCCTTTTGCACTCGGGACTTACAGGTCATACCTGTTCAGAGAAGCAGTTTCCATATCGTAGTTCTGTCACAAAATGTTCGCAATTGGCACTGGTGACACTATATGGCAATATCTGACCCACTTGCTGCAGTGCTGCTTGCACCACCTTTTCTGAGGGGTACGGATTCATCTTCTCATCAAATTTATTATTCACTCTGTAATTGCAGCCACGTGCAACATCTACCAGGCGTTCTTTTCTCACCACAGCAGAGCCACCAAGAGCTGATGACAAGCTTGACCAGCCATCTTGATCTGAGGACAGAATTTAAAGAATTAATTTTGTAAGCATTTTTCTTCTAGATCAACAAGATCTCTAATTTGAATACCAATATGGTGGATGCACAAAGGTAAGTCTGTCATTGAGAAAATCGTGTGTTGATAAAATCATCATGTCTGATGGCTACAGTGTCACAATATTTCTCCCTAACTTCTTTATGAAACACAGGGAACTGCTGCGGTTTTTGATCATAATGAAAAATATTTTTTTGAGTGATAGATGTTTTCTCACGTTAAACTGGCTCCTGCACTATCCTTCCCTAATGGGTGCCACAATTTGTTCTCCAAGTGACATGTTATGTCCCCTTTCTACTATCCTACTGTGCATGTTTACTATCCGGATCATGGGATCCCTACCTGTTCGCTATATGTGACTCACATTTTGTAACTTATAATTGTAAACTAATTTTCAACAAAATCTTTCTGAATGAAAAATATTTTTATGATGATGAAACACACTCACAATTACATTGCAGCTAACCTCTATGGGGCCCAGTTATCAGAATAAATGCTTGATATTATTGCATCACTAAATACTGTGTGATGTTTGGTCAGATCCACCATTTTATTCTATAGGGTCTTGGCATTCAGAAAATATATAATGTTGGGGGGTTTTACGTCATTTTCAGGCCTAAAATGTGGAATATAACATGGGTGCAAAAATTGAAAAAAGGGCCTCAGTCATGAAGGGGTTAAAACTCCCACTAACCATTTATACTCCCTTACTTATGCAAACCTTATTCTATTATCAATATTTCTCCTTTCAGCTTTGTACGTTCCACATCCTGGCATGTTTCTAGAAAGGGAAATACCAACATGTGTTCCCTCTTGCATCATCTTTGCAGGTCCCTGGGCCAAAACCCAACCGTTAGTATCAGAAATGCACAATCTACCTGTCAGGTGTACAACATAGCCATTCCCTATGTATATTCCCCAGTGCTGGTACAAAGGCCGGAAAAACTCTATCAGGTCTCCCAGCTGAGGTGGTGGGCCCTATAAAAAGAAGAAAGGGTTAGCAAAAAATTTTACAAAATGGGGACCAGGCAGTTTTAATGAGGCAGCACCAAAATTACATCTTTATGTGAAAATCCCCACCAACTTGCAGTCCTAATTGCATCTGCTACTATGATGACTCAAGAAACAATGCAGGGATGTGGATTTTACACATCTATGCCTTCTATCTATAACAGCAGAAAACAAACAAGGGGCATGTGTTGCAGTAAAGACCTCATCTCTTGTAGCCCTAAAGAGTGGCACCTGAGACAAAAGTTTTTACTTTGCCTCAATGTAGTAACTTTAACACTTGACACATCAAATACAGTTATAAACTGCTTCACATTCACCACAGGCTCCTACGCTGACATCTCTCACGCCGGGCTAATTTATCATCTTCCTATCATGTGGGCCATCACTGGGCCCTCTTTATGAATATTTTTTTTCTATGTTGAATGACGGGTTAAAGACTGAAATAACAAAACCAAAACAAAAGGGGCACAATGACCTAGGGCAACAATGGCAAACTTATTGCACACATGCCACAGAGGGCACGCAGAGGCCCCCTTGGTGGCACGCGCGCCCAGGTGCCGGGGCCTGCACATTGCAGGATCTTGCCTAGGGTGCTCCTCATGGGCCTTCGTTGTCCCAACGATCTCCATGTCATATTACAATTTTAAAGATCTTTAAACTTGGAAGGTGCTTAGATCCTATTTAATATACTGTATTGCCGAACTGGCAATATTTTAAATGAAAATCATCCCGTAGTGGTCCAGTGGAAGTATGTAGTGCCCAAAATGCAACACAAAATCTTTTTATTTACCTCAATGTGCCAACACTGAAAATAAGCTTGGTATTGTGTTTTAGTTTGGGCATTGGGTTTAAAAACCGTTCAGCATCGCTGCCTGAGGTAGAATAGGGAAACACACATATTCTAACATTTATACACTCACAGATACAAACACAAGTAATCACACACATATAATCATACACTCATAAACACACATATCTCACACTCATAAAACACACACATACACCACACGCTCATAAAAACACAGCACAAACTCATAAAACACATCACACACTCATAAAAGCACACATTACACATATCACACACACTCATATCAAACACACACATATCACACACACCAACACACTTATTAAAACATACACATCACACACATACACACACTCATTTAAAAACACATTATCACACACCTATTAAAACACACACACATATCACACTCATTAAAAAACACATATCTCACACTCCTGAAAAAACACACTTAATAAAACACACACACTTATTAAAAAACACAGACACTTATCACACACTCATTAAAACACATAGATAACCTGCTTACCTGTTTTGCAGGGAGGGGGCTGCATCCCTGGGGTCAAGTGGGGCACTCAGGAATTATCCTGGTGGTCCAGTGGAGGATGAGTGTGATCTGCATCTCTGGTTGGTGCAGATCATACTGATCCTCCACTGGACCACAACAGGATGATTTTCATTTAATATATTAACCAGGTGGGTTCACATAAATACACGTCCTCCCCTGAAGCTGTTATATCAAGATACCAAGAACACAGCAGCGGCTGCAGCCGTGTTCTTGGTACCATTGTAAATAGGCTCCTAGAGCCAAGAGAAGAAGCTGGTAAAGCAGATCTCTGCTTCATCAGCTTCTTTGGGGTCCCTAGGTGACATTAGGGGTCTGAAAGACCGCTGATGTCTCCATAAAGAGGACCTGTCACATCATATTTGCTATCACATTGGGGGCTTGTTAGCCCCCAATGTGATAGCAATTAAGTTAAAGGAGAACTATGAGTCAGTCACTGCTCCCCGCAGGGATTCCCCCCTCCCCACTCCGATCCTCCAGCGCTGACTGGAGAATTGGACGAGGGAGCGGGCAGGAACAGCTGGCTCTGCCTCTAGATAGGTAGAGCCAGCTGTCATTCACGCAGCTGGGTGGATCTCAACAGCATTGTCGGGATCCATCCCGGCTGCGTCGGTCTCGGTATACCGCGAGCTGTAGCATGTGAAATACTGAGCTTTGGAATTGTAAAGGATGTCACCAACACACCAAGCTTAGCCTGATGACGGGGACCCTGCGAGGTCCCGAAAGTATTTGCTATTGAATTACATTGTTTGTCATTAAAATGGACATTTGCTGAATTCAACAGCTTGGTGTGCTGGTGACATCCTTTACAATTTTGTATTTTCTTGCGGCGCCTCCATGGTCACTGCGAGCAGTCATTCATATATTTTTTCAAAAATCCGGTAAGGAGTGCAGCAAGATACATATACTTTTATACTGAGCTTTGGGTCGCACGAGTGGACGCTAATATATGTCCACCCGTGACCCTTAAGAGAACTATGGGGAAAAACACTTACCCCATAGTTTTCTTTTAAGTGTAAAAAAAAATGAAATAAAGAAATGAAAGTAACATATAAAAACATTAACGTACACACACACACATACAAACATGTGATGGGTGCGTCTAGGTGCAAAAACGAAAATTGCGCCACACATGTTACATATCACCCCGAACGTCAGAGTGAGAGCAATAATTCTAGGGCCATCAATCTTTGATCCTTCAGCTAGCTTTTGTGAACAACCCTCTCGGATTTTATCATCTGTGTGCAAAAAGTAAGAAATTGCTCCGGACAGCAAGTGGTTAAATAGGATGTGGGCACCTTCCAGGTTTAAAGATGGCCATCTTCAAAAACTTAATAAGAAGGACTCCGGAACACCGAAGGCCCAGAGAACCTGGAGTGTGCTGGCCCTGGCAACCGGCACCTAGGCTCGCGTGCCTCCAGGGGGGGCCTCTGCGTGCCAAAGGATCGCCATTGCTGGACTACATGGTTGCCAGAACCATTTATAAATTGTTGAACAGTATAAATATGTCGTTTGCCATCAGAAAAACTGTCTTGACACTTGTGTTTACAGTGTCTTTAGACATTTTAGATTTTTTACTCTTTATTTTACTTGGCGCAATTTTAATTCTTAATACTTGGAACCTTCTTGAAAATGACTGGTTTGGCAGAAAGAGCCGGATCAAGCTTATTGTCCCGGAGTAGGATATTCCAATTATTTTTCAATAGATTTATAACCCAAATCGAACTGGATGATGAATCATCCTTTCTGAATGTCTTCATTCTTATACTTGTGGACTTTTGTGCAACATTTTCAAAAAATGTTGCTATCCCTTCGCCTTCTCCACAATGCAAGCCGGATGAGACCTGCATTCTTTTAATTTCCATGGTGCATAATATTTTTTTAATACACTCATATTATTCTTAGCTCATGCACATAGCTCGTTGCTCTCCTCTTGTTATTGTTTTGTTATTACTGTGTGGTTTATTCCCGACCATTTATTTGTGGAGCTGCAAGACCCTGTTCAGCAAGTGCTACAGAGATGCATTTCTAACAATATGGATTCATTTGAATTACTATTCCCCTTTCAGCTGCATATTTTGTGTGGCCAAAAACGTGTTTTCTCTTGTAATTGGGTCAAAGAATGAGAAAACTTTAGGCCAAAAGCAAAACACAATAGAAATGATCAGGATTGTGGATGAATGTAGATTTTAGGCAGCGAATCTCAGCAATTAAGCATCATAGAAAAATACATATTGTAGCTAGTTTCTGCTTTCACTCACCAGAATATATAACTTAGTAAACCTTACAATGTATGTGGCAAACTCTGAATCAATTCCATAGTGCTTACTCAGACTGGCTACATTATTAATGTTAGTTAATGTAAATAGCTGTTTTTGTCATTGTTTATTATAAACAGTCCTATATACTGTGAAGGGAATTTATCAAAACTGGAGCAGACAAAACCTGAAGCAGATTTGCACTGCAACCAATCAGATTCCATCTCTCATTTTCAAATCTCTATTTAGCAAACTGAAGAGAGATGCTGATTGGTTTATATGGGCAACTGCTCCAGATTCTGTCTGCTCCAGGTTTGATAAATTCCCCCATGTGTGTTCAGAAAAGTAAGGTCTGTAAGGTTTCAATACATTAATTAGAATATTTATAAAACTTACAATTATAGGTTGACATTTCAAAAGCTTTACTGTAACATTACTAGGTATATACGATATACATTTCTGATGTTTAAGAGGTTAATGATTACCTGCACAAACTTGAGGGGCACAATACTGTGTTTATAGGTTATGTGAAAGGTTTTGCTCTCTGTTGCCTGACTGACATTAGCTGTGTCCGATCGATCAATGAAATCACGTGAATAGGAAAAGAATTCCATCCTATCACGAGAGTGACAGAATCAGGGTTCCACTTTTCTCTGATTGTCAACATTATTTAGGTAGTGAGAGTAGAATAAAATAGTATAACACTCACCGACATCAGTGGCATGCCTGCTTGGTTCTTTCTTTTTTTTTTTGTAATGCCGTCACACTCTTTAATTTGCCATCCTAGTCTTTTAAGTAGGCCAAAGCTAGACCGGTTGTGCTTAAAATAAATATGACTATGTCAGAACAAAGATGACCTACAGATCACACCCATAAACAGATCTGTAAAAAAAGGACACAGTGTGAAATAGCAGCAGCAGTCTGAAAGAAGGAAAGGCTGGGAGTGGAATTTTACATTGTGAGTAAGATCACCGGGAGCCTGTTTTAATGATTTACATTTACATATCAACAGCCTATGGAACAGCAACACGATTATGGCAGCAAAGAGATAATACCTTGGTGATATCAAGGAGTTGCATGTGAGGAATCATCAGTAAAAAAACATGTAAACACTCATAAATACCTTCCTCAGTGCTGGAGAGGGGGCGGGGTCCTGCTTCATTTCTGCCGAGCTCTCTAGAGAGCAGGGTAAACAGAGCCTGGCACCGGGCACATGACACTGCTCAGTGTGCCCACAATGCACAACACAGTCATGTTTTCAAAGCTAAGCACCAAGAATAAAATACGCAGCTGTTACACGAAAGGATAAGTGCAGTGTATTTTCACCACGCACATACTTGAG